GCATTTGGAACAGTTTTAAAGAAAGGGTTTGGGATAGATATACCTTCTAATCCATTGAACGTAGACAGGCACATCATTAGAATTGCTTTGTATGCTGCACGCCTCACAATAATCAAAAAATGAAGATCCGCCTGATATTTTGTTATGGTTTGACAAACTGATATATGTGTTTCATTTATGAATATATTGTTTTCTTCCATTATTTCTACATGTTTTTGTTGATGTAGGCTTATTTAAAGGGGTACCTATTCTGTTGTTCCATACTTTTCAGTAACAGATTGCTTCCTCAATAAAAACAAATAATAATAAAAAAATGTAATGGCTCAAATTGAACTTTTTAATTTAACACATAGAACTCCTAATCAAAACCATTGGAGAGGTTATCATGAGATGAACCCTGAGTTATTAAAGGACTGGTACCCAATTGCACCATACATGAAAGAGGAATGGTCCAGAGTTATAACTATGGGCATACATATAACAGAATAAGGACTCACACATGAGTACCGCACTGGGTTGTTACGGCTGCTGTTTTTTTGTTGTCGTTTTTTCTCCTCATCTGTTTTCGTTTGTGGGTTTTACTATGTTTTGTTGTTTTGTCCTAAATGTTTTGGTTAGAAAACTGTGATTCTCATCCAGTTGAGAAATAGAGAATCTATTCAGTGCTTTTGGAGATGCAGCCATTTCCATCTGAATTGCAGAGCTGCTGCAGTGCACTGAGGATGTGAAAAACTGATTTGACAGGATTACATAATCCAGTGAGTCAGGAAGCACTGCTGGTAGGTAGACTACCTGCTGTCTCTATAAAATCATCCGTCTTTCTATCCATCACAAGTGTCTTATTCCTCCTTTAGAATAATCTGAGTACAGATATATTGTGAGACTGCATTAGATTGGGTTTGGAGACGGTTCCATTACACAGCAGCGGGTCTTTGTTGTCAAAGGATGCTGATTTATGGAAGCAATAAAAGGAGAGAAAACCGGGACTGCAGCGAAGAGCTGGCATAAAGGACACACTGAGGTTTGCTCCGCATGAAATGGCTGCCGTAAAGTCACATAAAGATTAATAATATTCACAATAATGAGTTTGCAGAAGGCAGAGGGGGAGGAGGAGACTACAGACCTATAGCACACATTGAGCAAATGCTAAAAATAGACTAAACAAAAAGCAATGACTCCATTTCACTGAATGAGTTTCTCTTAAAAGGATATTTGAATATAAATATGATGAGAAGACTGCCTCTCATTGGGACATGTTTCCAATTGATTATGACATTTCCTAAAAACATCTTGAAATATAACTCCACTGGTGTTCAACAATGACACTTAATCAAGGAAATGATAGGAAATAGATGAGATTAACATGTCATTAATGTCATCAACATTATCATATTTTTCAATCAAATTCTGCTTTAAACACCCTTATTAGACTAAAAGCCTCCACTTAATGCTGCACATGAGTATAGCATTATTACGCATTAATTACGCATGACGTAAATGGCACTGCTCATACCCAGAGCGTGTCATGGCTGAAAATAGATGTACTTAACATGATTAACATGCTTGATACTTAATGATATGCAAGGACTCTCATCCACCCTCCCCCACAACACCCCTTCCTCCTCTCACCTGTCCTTTTACGAGACTCGCTGCAAACTGCCTCATCACCGCCTCCACCGTGTAGGCGCTGGACCATCCGCGGGGGGTCAACAGCTCCATGCATATGGCGCCTCCGTCCAGCACGTATCCGTTCTCCAACCGGGGCGTCAGGACGCGCATGAACGGTGGCGAGAAGGGGAAATTATCTGGAAAGGTGACGTTGAGCAGAATGAACTCGGTGCTGGTCTCCTTCATGTCCTGCCACAGCGCCGAGTCCTTGTCCACCTGGTGCAGCTTCACGTTCCAGTCGTACAGGTTGTCCTCCACCAGCTCCACCGTGATGAAGTTGTCCCCTAACCTCCGGATCTCCTGCAGCTCCTTCATCAGCCTGCGCGTCCGGACCTGGGTGCAGTGTTGCCGGTGAGGCGCCAGCGGTGGTATCGAGGAGGAGGAGGAGGCACTGGTGGTTTTACTCCCACCTCCACCTCCTCCTCCTCCAGTCTGCTGCTTCTCCTTCGCATCCTTGCCCAGCTTATCCTTCCCGGACCCGGCCTTGTCCTTGCCCACCTGGTCCAGCTTCCTCGCCTTGATCTCCGGGGTGCTCAGGATGTTGTTGGTCTCGTTGGCGGTCTGACAGTGTTTGTTGGCGTTGTTTTTCTGGTTCCCTCCCTTGGTGCCCTTTAGCGATCCCTGATGGTGCTTTGGGTCCTCGGTGTCCCGGTCGTGCAGGCGGATGAGACCGATCTTCCGCAGTAAGGTGGCCATAATTTGTATATAGATCTATCCTCCGTTCCCCCCGCACAGGGGCAAGAATCACCCTTAAAAAGTCGGGTCTCCTGCTCACAGAAGACCTTTTATCGATGCTGATTATTAACCTTGTTGTACCGCAATCCCCCCCACTGCAGCCTCAGGATCAACACAACCGGGGAGCAGGTTCCTCCTCAGTGCAGCATCTGGACACGACTCGACTGAAGAAAAAAAACAGTAAAACAACAAAAACAGGCGAGATTAAATGAATATTCTCTCACAGTTTGGTCGAAACAGATCATCCCCCCCCCCTCCCCCCCACACACATCATGACTGCAGTTGTTCGATGATCCATTACGCAGGATCGCGAAGGGGATGCTATAATATATTTTATTATAGCGAAATGTCAGGCAACGTGAGTAAACGACAAGAAAAACAAAGAAGGAACCATGTAGCGACATTAAAGGTGGAAAAACCCATAATTCATCTGAAGCGTGTTAACAAATCGTACTAATGATTACAAGAGACACCTATAGGAAATGTATAGGAATCATACAGGCTATGGAACATTGCCAAGGACACTCTAAACAGGCTATTCATATCAAATTATATTATTATAGAGGATTTAAACTCCACAAATCCCAATGAATGCACGATATATTCACTTAAAGACTCGACCATAAGAATATCATACATTATTCTTTATGTGCTCTTCCGCCCACACAGACCCAATATTAAACCAGCAGCCTATTGCTTACCATAGAGGGCTGAAACTCGAAGTAGCCTATGTCCGTTTTGTATATCCTTGTTGTGATAGACCGGACACCGATCTTCGTTGTGCGTAAAAAAGAAGAAGGAATGGCTCCTCCAGCATCCAGTTGGACCTGCCGTCGGTGGAGCTGCAGTGCGAGGAGAAGCAGAGCCTTTGATGTGTTCGCAGCTGCGGCAGCTCCAGCTTTAATGCAGCCGAGGACAAACCAGCCCCCGTTAATCCTCCTCAGCCAGTCTGCTCTCACCGGAGAGGCGCTGCGACGACGGCCTTTCAAAATAAAAGCACTGACGTTATAGGTTACATTTTCAAGTTTCAAGGCTTTTATTGTCATGTGTGCTCGCATAGCTACAGTGTAGTTATGCCAATGAAAATCTTAGGTCACACACAGGCTCCTCCAAAAGTGCAACAACACAATAAAACAGATACAATAGTACAAGTAAATAAAATAAAATATAATATAATAGAAACAGAATATAATAGAAACTGTGCAGAATAGTCTATACAGTAATTGTAATATTGATATATGAGTTGCAAACAGATGAATGTTATGTATGTTCTTTCAAAAGTTCAGGTGTTTAACATTCAAGGAAAACCAAGCTCTGAAATGGGAAACAAATGTGTATTCGCTTAACATTTTACTTGAACTGTTACCTTTTGTTCTTTCTTTCTTTCTTTTGTATTTATTGTTTTACTTGTGTACCTCTGATGTCAATGTTTTGTGTGTGTATCATGTTTGATGTACAGTACATACATATTTTCTTGAATAAAGGAGGAAAATAAACTCGAAAATGGGGATGGGGGATATAGACTGCTTTAAATAACTGTTGTTTTCTGAAAACAATTATGATATTAGTGATATTGAAAATGATAGTGAAAAGATGTAACAAGCAACAAGATAACATTTGATTTATAACTGGGAACATTATGACATGAATAGCTGATCGCAAAAAAAGTTGGTTTAACACCGTACACATAAAACAATCAATCATTTAAATTCACAACAAGTCAACAGTTGATCAAATGTGTCCTAAAAAATGGTTCATTTCTAATCTGTAGTGAGTTTATTTCTAAAGAAAATTGCCTATTTAAATTAATCTAAAACCAGTTATTTTGGCAACATTATCTTTCTGTTAAAAGGTGTTGCTGTTCATAAGCATTTTTTCATTTAGGGGCTTCATAAAGTACATTACTGGCCTGTGCAAGGAGCCAAATCTGTTAATGTAATATTACTTTTATTTTGAAGTTTCATGGTGTATTTCCTGGTTTTTCTGGCTAACTGGCTTTGCTCTGTTTACCTGCACGAATACAGGCTGAGCAGAAATGCCAGAGGAATGTAAACTCAACATCACTGACATTCACTTTTACTTTTAGCCTCCCACAATGCAGACAGTCCTTGTAGCCTATATATTTACATTGAGTCAAAGTTACCCAATTCTCTAAGCAGAGCTCAGCTTTATTTTAGATATATGTTGGGAAATACAGGATACTTTGAGCCTTAAAAAAAAATATATAATATAGAAAAAAAGTGTAAAAATATGTTTTATACCAGTCTACTATATATAACAACATTGTGAATGTTAATCCTGAAAATGCAATATATACTTACTGCATTCTTTAATTGTTACAGAATAATTATTGTATTGAACACGGTAATATGATTCAAATAACAAGAACATTCACATTTGATATTACATTTTCACAATACTGGTTTAGAGGCAGGCAAGCCACCACTACACTGCAGTAAGAAACTCATGTCATAATTTTCCTCACAAAGAAGCTTCTACATAACCGGCATCACGACATTTTTAGGCAGTTAACGACCATCTGTCATTAGTCGTTACCTAGGTTACCGAGCAGCAACCACACCAATTGGCTACGTCTCTACCGTAAAGCATTTCGGCGTTCCGACTGTCGTAGCCAACATTTGACAAAACGCTTCCTCTAAACGGAACAGCTTATATGTATATTTAGTAGTTTAGATACAGAGAATTAACATGGCGGAGAAATTTGATAACCTGGAGGAGCATCTGGAGAAATTTATCGAGAATATTCGACAGCTGGGAATCATCGTTAGCGATTTTCAGCCCAGCAGCCAGGCAGGACTCAACCAGAAACTGTGAGTTTTATATACATAACCTTATAAATGGCACCGATCTGTAAATAAACACCCTGTTAACACATTTAATTGACCTGTTTTCTCAGGAATCTGATGATCTCTGGACTGCAGGACATAGAGAAATGCCGTCAGCAACTGCATGAGATCAACGTTCCTCTGGAGGTGTTTGAGTGAGTGACGTCATCCGTGGTGTTTTTGTGCTTTTTCCGGCTTTTTAACCTTTAAATTATATTTTTCTTACACCTCTGCTTTAGTATGTCATTGTTTTAAAGCTGTGAATACCAGTGGTGTAAAGTAACTGTGTACATATACTCAAGTACTGTATTTTGACACATAATACTTTTAATATATGATTATTTGGTATAGATTAAACCATCCAACATTATAATTAAGTAACTAAAATGATTAGTGGGTTAACAGAACATTTATTGACAGCAATGTAACAGTCCCAGCTTCTTCAATGGGAAGATTTGCTGCTTTTGCTTTAAATATTTTAAAGGTCCCATGTCATGCTTTTCTGGTTATTACCCGTCCCCTTGTGTGTTATGAAGGTTTTTCTGCATGTAAACGGTCTGCAGAGTCACAAACGCTCAAAGTACACCCTGTAGCGAGTAAAACTCTAACACAGAAAAGACCCGTCTATGCTGCCCCAGAAAGCCTCGTTGGAGATTTCTCTTTTTCCATTGTTTTCTTCTTGGGTATAGTGACGTATTTGGGTATAGTGACGTAATGTAACGTAACAGCCGCGGACTTCCTCACACACACACACTCGGCGGGACGTTGCGAGGCTCGCTGCTGCTCGATATTAAACAAACTAATTATAGTAGATTAACTACATTATTCAAAAGTGTACAGTAACTTACAAAAATGCGGGAATAATAAACGGAGCGCTCTCTCTCCTTCTCCTGACAGCCCGTCAGTATCATGCAGCTCGCGGATCCAGTAATGAGTGACCCGACAGTAAAACTAAACATATCTATAACTAGTTTAGGTAGTTTGAGAGGTCATTAACATAGCTACGTGATATTCTAACCTGAAGTGTGTTTTGTTCCGCTCGCCGCTGCAGGGGATCATGCAGAGCTGCGTGTCGACTCGTCAGCAGCAGCCGATCTCTCTCTCCCGTCAGATTAGACTTCACTCGCGTTTATGTCCATATCGATCAGATCCAGCTAGTTCTAGCTAATGATATGACTACCTGCTTATTAAAAGACACCTAAACAATAAGCGTCGCTATGCAACCGGGTGAGGCCACAAAGTATAGCGCAGCATTATGCATTTGTTTACATGCCCACCGGAACCCCGAGGCATTACCAACAGATCGACGCACAATCAACCCATACAGGACATCTCTTTCTCCACATTAAGTGTTAGACATTAGAATTGACTATTTTTGTCTGTCACATACTCTTTTGTCTGTCACATACTATTCTTGTCTGTCACATAAGTGGCGCAACTGATGCGGTATTGCGCTAAGGGAAAATTATTTTGACCGGAGAGATTTAGATTTGCCGGTATTCAGCATATTTTACCGGTCATAGTCTGGTAATTACCGGCTAACGGGAACTCTGATGCTGTATGAGAAACCAATGTGAGTTTGGAAAATTGCACAATATAAATCTATTCTAGTAGACCTCAACAATGGAATTATGATCAGTAGAAATGGCCATGACATGGGACCTTTAATATATTCTAATATTATAGTACTTTTAATCCAAATACTTTAGGTAAATATTCCTAATCGTACCTAAATACTTTTATAGTACCATTCTTGATGCAGTACTTTTACTTGAAATTGAGTATTTTTACATTGTGGTGTCAGTACTTCTACTCAAGTCAATAATCTGGGTACTTTTCCACCTTTGCTGAATACATGTATGTGTTGTGTGAGAGAATATATATTACTTTGCGATAAAGCCTCGCCAAAGCCCATTCTAAAATCCCACAATTGTATATCTCCATTTCCTTTTCTTCACATGTGGTTACGCTACATTGCACATTTCACTTTTATTTTTGATTATTAAGAGTCACTTTTGAATTCAGATTACACATACTGGCACAATATACACATTTGGAAATTGTGGCCACTTCTAATTTACTGTATTCATGTGGAGGATGGCTGAAATTGTAGAAAAACAGCAAACAAAGCTTTGTATTAGCAATCTAGCAACTGGTATTAATAAAACCTTATCTGTGCTTCTCAGTTCCCCTGACTGATATTGTTTTGCCTTGTGTTTGCAGATACATTGACCAAGGTCGAAACCCACAGCTGTACACGAAGGAATGTCTGGAGCGAGCCTTAGCCAGGAACGAGCAGGTCAAAGGGAAGATTGACACCATGACGGTAAGAGATAGTCCCAGGGTCGCTGAGATTCCCCTCCAATGACACGGAACAAAATATAAACAGAGCCAACAAACTATTCCACTGATTAAACGGCTCCCAAGGATATGTGGAATGTTTTTAAAGATCAAAATGTCCCCTTTTCAAGGAGAATCAACATTAAACAAAGAGGCATGTCCTTCAGCTAACCCTTTTCCCCAGTGGCCTTTTTTGTTGTTGATAAAATTATCTGTCCTTAAACCCAATGCTTAAATATGTTGGTGTTTATGTGGCTATACACAGCACTTATTTGGAATCCAAGTGGGTGGGCTAGACAAAAAGACCAAAATATTTTATTACGTTATAGGTATTAGCATATACTGATAATGATATATATATATATATATATATATAAAACCTTAAACACATATTCTGATCACGCATCTAATGACTATTCTTTACAAAAGAACAACTTTTAAAGGCTATTTGTTGTACTCTGGTGCAAAATTAACCTACTGGTAGTTTCAAGTGAAATTATAGATAGTTTATTTTTATAATTGCCAGGTTTACGCTGACTATGTTTACATGCATGGACACAAATACAGAGTAATCAGATGAATAGTTTGATTTAAGTCCTGTTAAGGTCCCATGTCATGGCCATTTCTACTGATCATAATTCCATTGTTGATGTCTACTAAAATAGATTTATATTGTGCAATTTTCCAAACTCACATTGGTTTCTCATACAGCATCTCTGTATAGTATGTGCATTCACTCTCTGTCCTACACGGCTTGTTGGAGCTCCTCCCCCCCCCCTCCCTGTGAGCCCAGTGTGCTCTGATTGGTCAGCTCGCCCACTCTGTTCTGATGAGTCTAGCACCGTTACAGCAGAACATCAGTGATTATGTGTTACAATGGCGTTAGCAACCAGAAAATAACACCAGTAAGGACAAACAGATGAGAATGCTGCGTGGGGTCTGGGTGCCGTGTTGGCGGGACGTTGCGCGGCTCGCTGCTGCGAGGAGCGGACAGTGGCCGTTTCTCAATCGCGAGGATGCTGGCTTGGTAGCACAGCCGAGCCGAGCATCTTGCTTCAGAAGCAAGGCAAGAATACTTCCTGGCATTCAGAAAACAAAGAGTGGAACATGGTAGCAAGTGTGCAGGTGTGCGTCATATGAGAGGCCCCGCCTTACATCTTCCGCCACAGATTTGGGGAAATTGGTCCATGCGCAAAGCATTGTGGGGATTTTAAGGACGCGAAGTCTACCCATGTGCAGCCTCGAAATTTCCCCCAAACCAAGGACGCGGCCTCGGTGGAATTCCAAGTATGCTGGAGATTGGAACAGTCCTTCGGCGGCACTCTATGACGTAGCATCCTTCAAATATTGGCTTGGAAGCCAATATCCTCACGATTGAGAAACGGCCACAGTGAGCTGGGTTCATTTCCTGCTTGCTGCGTGGGATCTGCGAGACATCGCGAATGGATGCGGGAAGGTGGGGATGTTGAGGGGGCTGCAGCACCCCCATCTGCGAGGCTCCACTAGCACCTGCACCCCCAAACACGGCACACCTACAGTGTAAGCGTGCCACAGTTTTGCCGCTGCGAGGCTCCACTAGCACCCCCCCCCCCAGCGCGTCACAGTTTCGCTGAGTGTGTGTGTGTGTGAGGAGCTCCACATATTTGGGTATGGGCACGTCACTGTACCCAGGAAGAAAACAATGGAAAAAGAGAAATCTCCAACGAGGCGTTCTGGGGCAGCATAGACAGGTCTTTTCTGTGTTAGAGTTTTACTCGCTACAGGGTGTACTTTGAGGGTTTGTGACTCTGCAGACCGTTTACATGCAGAAAAACCTTCATAACACACAAGGGGACGGGTAATAACCAGAAAAGCATGACATGGGACCTTTAAGTGATGATGTTTACTGAGATGTAAAAACAAAACCACAATATTCAAATGATATTCCCTCAACTAATTCACATCAGATCCTCAGAGTAGTGTGAGTTAGTCGGTGCTTGTTATTGTCAATTTACTGAATATGATGCCACTGAAATGTGATCAATTATCACATTGAAGTCACACCGTGCCCTAAAACTGGGCAAAATTAAGATTTCATATTGTTTTGATCAATTCTTAACTTTTTTAAGTAGATCATTTGTTTATACAATTTAGAATCAGTAATATTTTTGTATATCTATTTGACATTGCTTAATTTTGTATTGTATAATAATTCTCATGTTACATTTTTGTATTATTGTTTTACACATTCGAAATAAATCAAATCAAATCAAAATATACTTTATTGATCCCAATGTGGGAATCAGCAGCATGTTATATGAAATAAAAAAAGTAAAACAAAATAGAAAATAAAACAGGACTAAAGAGTAAAATATAAACATGTTGACAGTGAAAGATAAAAATGTGTTGCCTTCATCATGAAGTTAAAATAGTAACAAGTCACTTATAAACCCACCTCTTCTGTTGTGTTTTATGACAGAAATTCAAGAGCCTTCTGGTGTCCGAGCTGGGCAAAGTGTTTCCCGAGGAGATGGTCAAGTATAAGGCGATCCACGGAGAAGACGCCCCCTCCTAGTGACCGCTGCGCCGCGACCCCTGACCTTCAACCTGTGACCCTTGAAATGAAAAGCCTGAATTGAAGTTTGACAAAGCTGGTTCCCCCGTGGTCGCCTGCACAATATCATTACCCCGTATTATTTGTTGTCAAACTTGTGATTCTGTTGCCGACTAGGGACATGGTTTATTATTTCTACTCAGCACCCTGACTCAGCCAATCCTTCTCAAAGCTAATTTAAAAAGAAATACAAATCATTAGCGAGTATACGGGAGGAGTAGTGAGGAAAAACAAATACTTTTCAGCACTGGGTGGCTACCAGGAGACACATTTGTTTTTTTATGTCCCTGTTGAAGCTCTCAGTTGGCAGCAGAGGCAATTTATTAAACTCCCAACTGTACAGAAGAAAATATGAAAGAGCTGCGCGGCGCCCGTCTGATTCTGCATTGAGGAATATAGTCCATCAGTTGTACATACAGTGTATTTATACTCTTTCACTCTACCTTTTGTAATGCTTCCTAATCATTGCAACATCCATTTGTACCACACACACTTCATGACGTTTTGTATCAAGCTCAGGTTTCTAACAGCCTCAAATATTCAATGCAAAAGCTGTTTGATGGTGATTATGTGCCTGATCACTCCACATGGTCAGAAATGAATCCACTCTTTATTTGTTTGTATTATAATTTTTGTTATTAAACGATCCTTGTTGGAGTAATGTGTTTTTGTCATTGTTGAGGAAAAAACAACAGATTCAAACAAATAAGTCACTTTGAATGCTTCATTTTTACATAATTAGTCAAGACGTATAGGATGATACATGTAATAGACATAATACATAAGTAAAACACATTAAATAACGTATTTCCTGGAAATAATTCAGAACAATTGTATCGAATTTCATATTTTTCCATATCCATTGTGCAATGTACATTTTTTTTCGATGTACAGTAGTTTGGGTTTAAACCCTTTCAAGTTCATTATTTTTAAGGCTTATATTATGTGTCAATATGAAGTGTTATTATAGTATTTTACTATTTAAAGGTCACCTATTATGCAAAATGCACTTTTTCATGTCTTTTCTACATAAACATTCTGAACGTTTCAGGAAAAAAGATTGTCTCTCTTTTTGTCCTGATCCATTTATATAAAAACCTGTCTGAAAATGAGCTGATCAGATTTTGGCCACTTTGTGTTGTCATAACGATGTTTTGGCTTGTGTAACTATTAGCCAATCAACAACCAAGGTAACCCCCCACCCCCCCCCCCCCCCCCCCCCCCCCCCCCCCCCCCCCCCCCCCACCTTATCACCTGAATCTCCTCCTAGAGCACCATGGCTCCTTATTTTTATCTAAAGTAACAGACAGAGAATCAGCACTTTTGAAACAGGTTTGTATCTGAGACCTATAATATATTGATGAAAAACAGTATAATAGGGGACCTTTAAGTATCATTGCAATTATTCATATACTCAAGTGTACAGAAGAATTTATTCACAAAGCTTAAAGTCAGAACTAGAAATATATTTTTTAAACATGGCCCTTATCTTCTGTACAGGTGCGTGATTCAGCTAAATTATAGTTTTTTAATGGATAAAGAATGATTTTAAAATACTATAGAATATCACCATTGAGAGCTGCTGAAACTAATGCTATTTTAGTATATTTAGTACTATAGTCATATTTTCCTACGTTAACGTAGCTGCTGTTACTACCACAGATATTATGATAGAATAAAATGATTCCTTTGAGATCCCATGCATCAAAATAAAGTACTGCTTCATGAGCAAATATGTTTTTTCCTTAATTTATAAAATATCCTTTAACAACATGTGATTTACTACAGGTTTACCATTGCATCAACGATAAAAGAGACATAAACAAAACACATCTCCAATCGGAATCATCACAAAAGTATTTTTCATTGCTTGAGTGTTTGTGCAGCATCGGAGCGTATCCCAGTAGGATTTATAGGCCACCTATTATGCAAAAATCAATCCATGTCCCCTCTGTGTAAAGAGATTCTGAAAGTTTCAGGAAAAAAGACCCCCTCTCTTTTTGTCCTGGACATTTACATAAAAACCTGTCTGAAAATGAGCTGATCAGATTTTGGCCACTTTATGATGTCATAACGATTTTTTGGCTGGTGTAACCATTAGCCAATCACCAACCAAGGTAACCCCCCCCCCCCCCCACCTTATCACCTGAATCTCCTCCTAGAGCACCATTGTGTTCTTTTTAACCAAATATCTCTCAGAGGGGCGTGGGGAGTGGCTCCTTATTTTTCATCTAAAGTAACAGACAGAGAATCAGCACTTTTGAAACAGGGCTGAAACAGAGGGGATTATGGGATGCTGCAATGATCTGTTTGGTGTTTGGAGCCAAACACTTCAGAGACATGTTCTGTATATCTGAGACCTATAATATATTGATGAAAAACAGTATAATAGGGGACCTTTAAAGTAGGACATTTAGACAGTCAGGCTGGGTTTCTGTTAGCAGTTTTGCTGAGTAAACGTGTTAGACCGCGTCCTGCATGGTGACGTGTTGGTGGCACGTTCAGGGTCACTCAGCTCGAGTGTCTTCTCACAAACGTCTCTGTGTAACTATAGCCTCGTGTCTCTCAGACAGGCCCAGATGCTGTTACAGGGCAGCGTCATCAGGCAGGTTACGGCCCGCCACGCCTCCTCCTGCTGGGGCTCAACCACGGCGACACGCCCCCCTGACCCCAGAGCCCCCTCCTCTGGGACAGAGGGAGGGGAATGAGCCCTGTTATTGGTTTGTGATCTATGCAGTGAGGGTAATACAGACCCCTCGTCCCTGGCTGTCACTCTTCCCTGAGGATTTCCTCACACGCGTCCCGATTAGTCAGCCGTGGTTTAGTGAGGGCGTCCACCTTTTATTGTGGGATGGGGGAGGGTCTCAGATGCCATATATCCATAAAAAATAATCCAGTTTTTTTCTTGTTTCTCCTCTTTCTTTTTAGATGCTGCATGTACTATCCATTACTGGGTGAACTTTAACCATATTTCTGTGGCAAGGTTGAAATCTTGCTTTTTCCATTTTTGCTTTTAAAAGGGATATTTTTACATTTCTGGAAATACACACATTGACATTGATAAGTCAATTTTCTATAAAAAATTCTCCAAAATGTCAAACTAGTCAGACCTATGAACACATTTTCATGTAAAATGTACAGATAGCACACATTATTTTTATTCAAATTTCATAATTTCTTTTATACAGTTTTAAGCCTTATTACGAAAGTACAGAGAAATGGTAAATGGTCTGTACTTATACTGTATAGCGCTTTATCAGGTCTTTACGACCCTTCAAAGCGCTTTTACATACATCAAGTAATTCACCCTTTCACAAATCATTCATAAAGAGCAGTACCAATTGCTCATTCGGGCCATCGGGAGCAACTCAGGGTTAAGTATCTTGCCCAAGGATACGTCGACATGTTGACTGCACGGGAACCGCACAAAAACATAAAAACAACATGCATGTACCTTTCTGTTGTATTCATAATTGTATTACCCAGTTCAAGGATTATTAATGTTTTTTTGAATGCTTTAGATAAAGCCCACTATATAAATGTAGCCAATTTAAAGCACATCAAAGAATAGCAATAGCAAGATATATAGCATATCAAAGCAATTCAAAGTGCTTTAAAATACATTAAGACATAGTGCAAAAGAAACTCATGGTACAATTACATCCAAATCCATTCAAAGATATGAACTGAAAAGCCAAGAGAATACAAACCCAAGGGCCTAAAGATTGGATCCAATATAAAATGGTTGTTACCCTGAACAGACCCAGAGAGCGAGAACACCAGCAGCACGATGCACGAAGCATGAAGCATACTGAACAAGTAGCAATACATGTCATTTCCCCACACTCAAGTAAAAATACATTTCGGCATGAGACCAACTGTTCTTTTTACTCCCATGTGTTACACCTTGAGTACCTTGAGCATCATGTATTTGCTCGTGTTAGTTACCTCTATTCATTCTATCTTCATGTCTGGCCTATTCTCAGCCTTTAACCACGCTCCTCTTCCTCTGGATGACGAACATCCTGCCTGCAGCGAGTCGCCGCGGCGCTGATCAAGGGCACCCTTTCAATCCAATAATCAGCCAATTGTGAGGGCTGAGAAATTGAATTAAATGCTGTTGTTATCTGGTTTGCGATTGCGTCTGCTCGCTGTAACATTTCTGCCACAGGGTCACACTGACAGCGAGCGTGGCTCTGTGTCGTGATGCTTGACTAACCGGAGAAGTATTGTGCTGTAGATATATCTCATTATAAAGTGCTGAGGTGTGTTGGATGACTCATACAAGGTGAGTATTTCACTCTCCTCTTTTTCTTCCCGCCATTCACCTTCTGTTCTTGCTCACGACACCCCCCAGAGAAACATCATGTTCCCTCACCTGGGTCTCCTTCCTCCGTCCTGTATAATGACCAAAACGTTTCTGCGACATCTTTCTCTGCCTATGGAGGAGTTGGGAGAAATTGAATGGTGTTTACTGCCAGGTTCGTGTGGAGGTGGACTATTTTCCCCCTTCGTTATTAGGCTTGAAGGGTGCTTTAACGCAGGGGAGTCCATATATAACATGTTGGCTAGAGTAAACACTGTACTACTCCAGACACTGTGATATTTCATTTTGTCTGCGGGAAGAGACACCCGGTCTCCAATTTCATGGTGCATTAAATTGGACACTCAACAAATTGTCTTCTCAAAAGAAAGGCACTAGTGCAGTGTAATGCTGTCTTTGTGCTGCAGGTATCACATTGTGAAGGAGTGTTTGGTGTAGTGTCAGGTGATCTGATCTCTAAATAGTTAATTCAACTCCCTGAAAATGTATATTTAGGTCAAAGGAAGGCATTAACCTCTTCAGCCCAAACAAACAAACGAGCATGCTGATAGTTATCAAAAAACCTCCAATAAATCAAGAAATTCATCTTCCAGCATTTATCTTTGCTTATCAATACAGATTAATTTATAATTGTCTGATCTAACTATACATTTATTTCATGAAGCCTAGTATCTTAAAAAGGCACTTAACTCTGCAGAGAACCTACTAATTACCTAATGTCACCTTTTGCACCTAAAGAAAGAGAGCTTTAAGAGAGGTTCATTCCAGTTAGACTACACCGAGGAAGGCATGTGTATCTATAATTGATAATCGGTCACATGCACAGGCCGCAAATGTCCATCACCAGAAAAGGGTTACATGTCCTTGGCTATTGCTGTTCGGCTGCTATTATACTAACATGTTAATGCACTTTAGTTTGTGCCCTAAAACTATTGAGTCAAAATATTATCAACACCCAGTAAAAATGTAATGCAGTAAAGTTTACTTAAAGGTGGGGTAGGTAATTTTGGAGAAACCAGCTCGAGTGCGCTAGAATTTGAAAATACACAACCGGAAGAAATCTGCCACTTCCTTATGCTGCGTTCACACCGGACGCGATGCGACTATTCGCTTCGCTCCAATCGCTCCTATCGCATCGCTCTAAACGCTGGAGTTTCACCGCGGCTGCCAGCTGTGTTTACTCGCATCATTCAAACAAGACGCGCTGGCTTGGGAGCTACAACAAATGAACATATTTGACCGTGATTAAATTGTAATACACGTTTCTAAATGATGCCGAAGTAACAACATACTGATACCGGTTAGTAACAACCATGAATGAATGCTTGACAAG